GGATGACAACCAGAGCAGCAGAAACGGGGAATGGGAGTGGTAGAGGGACGGGGATAAGAGGAGAGGAACGGGAGGAGGAAGACAAGGAGGGAGGCGGGACCAAACTAAACCGTAAACCCGAGATGCATCAACAATGCTGCTATACACCCTCCCGTCACAAAGCGCCTCCTCATAAGTCCCCACGAGCCTTCCTTTACACTGCAACAGGAGTCCCCTTTGAAGGACCAACACGCTATGCGCCTGCCATTCTAGCGAGAGTCCCGTCCTGAAAAGAAACCGACGCACATCTCTCAAAGAACGTGGCCATGTACGCGATTTCTTATTCGGCGTTTCGACATTGTGCGGATGGGGGGGAGGGGGGGGGTCCGGCTTTGGACCTCTGCTTAGTGCGACTGTTTGCAACCGTGCGTCTTATGGGGCAGGAACTCCACCTGCTCGAAACAGGCGCCCAAAGCAGCCAGGATCTATTCCTCCAGGGGGGAGGGAGGGGGGGGGGTGCGAGGGTCCGCGCCGATCGGCAAAACAACGAATAAGAAAACGCTCACCATGCACAGTCCAACGAGGTGCCTACCGAGATCCTGGTCTGTCGAGAAGGAGCCGCCCCCTATCTGTGGAAGGTGTCGAGCTCGACACAAACTCAAGCGACGGCCCCGTGTCGCAAAAGGACCGCTCTGCATCCGTGCAGGTGTTACATCTTCAGGAGGGGAAAAAAACACACAGACACAATTAATCGTCGATTCCTGAGAAAATATGGGAAAATATGGGAAGTGGGGGGGAAGACAAAAACCCCGAACATATAGGAAAATATGGGGAATCCTTTTATGTGTGTGTATTCATTTGTGTGTCCCAGTTTCTCTTCACATATGTCCGATTTCGGAAACCCTGTGCCGCAAAACGTTTTCATCTCTTGGGCACGGTTTTCTTTTACTTCCGCCGCCTTCCACCGAGCTTCCGCCGGCTTCCGCCGGCGGAGGCGGCCTCGTTTTCCTTCCACCGACCTTCCGCCGCATTCTGCGGCGGAAGAGATGACAACTCATTCAATCCCTGAAGGCAGAGCCGTTTGTGGAACGCCCCATCATGTGAACTTATGTGGTCTCTACGTTGGGGGACGTCTCGAGCGAACCGCATTCTAAAACAGAGCTGTCTCCCATCTTGTAAATGTGGCAGGCTTTTGCAGCGAATGCGTGCGGAGCTAGGGCGGGAGCCCTCTTTTGAATCCATCCTTGTACCTGCTGCAACCTACTAGAGCGAAAGAGCGCGGCGCTCTGGCGAAAACGCCCTTCTGATGACCACCCGCCGTCGGCCGTCGTACCTCTTGAATGCGCGCGGCGAAGAGGCGGCAGCGTAATCGTGAAAACGGCCCGCTCTCGATCATTCTACTTCTTGGCACATCGAGCTTCACGGCCAGACGCCGTGAGGGAGTCTCGCGAAGAGAAGGGCCGGCCCGACCAACCCCTGCCGACACAAGAGATGCGGGAGGAGCACAGAGGGGGGCAAGGGGGCGAGAGCGGGGGTGATGGGGGGCCGGGCACGGGGGGGGGACGGAGGGGGGAGGAGGACGACGGGAAGAGAGGCGGGAGGAGGACGACGGGGGGGGGGTGGGCGGAGGGGGGAGGAGGACGACGGGAAGAGAAGCGGGAGGAGGACGACGGGGGGGGGGGGACGGAGGGGGGAGGAGGACGACGGGAAGCGAAGCAGGAGGACGACGGGGGGGGGGGACGGAGGGGGGAGGAGGACAACGGGAAGAGAAGGAGGACGACGGGGGGGGGGACAGAGGGGGGAGGAGGACGACGGGGGGGACGACGAGGAGGACGACGAGGAGGACGACGGAGGGGGGAGGAGGACGACGGGGGGGGGTGGACGGAGGGGGGAGGAGGACGACGGGAAGAGAAGCGGGGGACAGTGGCCTGGCACACGGTGCCAGCCCAAGCCGCCAAGCGCTGCCACCTCGACGTGGCGCCCTGCGCCGCGACTTCCGCGCAACCCATCGTCAGCTCGTGGATGGCGTTGCCCTGGTGCGTGGGGCGCGCGCGCGACGTTCGCGAGATAACTGTTGCCCTGACTGTGCGGGTGTGCGATTCCAACCCCACGGAAGCGAAAAGTCCAAGGCATCGATCTCATTCCCTGACGTCGGACGTACGATCATTTCCCCGATTCACCTGTGCTGCTGTGTCCGCGCTTTCCCTCCGCTGCAGCGCAGGGAATCCGCACAGCCTCCCCGCGCCAATCCCTGCAACCCCCCCACGCAGATCGTGCCTCACAGTCGGCTACACCTGCGACGGGGGGGCAGCTCGCAGATCGTCCTCCCGCCAATTCGGCACGCACAGACACACGCAACGCGGATCGCTCCCCCGAGGGGGCGGCCTACGGTCCGAGCGGATGAACCCGCATAGGGCCCCACGCCAATTTCGGCCCCACCTGCGCCTCGAGTGGGACAGTCCGCATTTCGTTCCCCGGCCCACCTGCGGCCCCGGTGGGGGAGCTCGCATTCGTGGTGCCCCCAGCGCATTTCGGCACACCCTCACGCGAATCGTGCCCCAGAGAAAAAGAAAGAGAGAGAGAGAGAGATCTGATAACGCAATCAAAATTTGTTTATATATACATATATACATATATAAGAAACGAAAGAAACACCCAAACATATATACACAAATGTGCACCTATGTATCTATACACATTAAAACGGCAACGGCGTGGGACACAGATAACGGCCATACAACATCTTATACACATAGGAAAACACATAGAGGTTTGTAGAAAGGGGACGGGCGGATACGTATGCACATGTATGCCTATAGCGTGCGAGAGCAAGGGCAAAACACAACAGCAGAGAAAGAGGGCGAGATAGAACACTTGTAACATGACATATGTATACGTCTCTATGTGTATATGTGCGCGTGTATGTGTGTATGTGTGTATGTGTGCATGTGCGTATGTATGTATGTATGTATGCATGTATGTATGTATGTATGTATGAATGAATGTATGTATGTATGTATGTATGTATGTATGTATGTATGTATGTATGCATCGCATATACTGCACCGCGTAGTTTTGCATCGCATATACTGCAACACATGGATTACACCACGTAAGTTGCACAACTCGTTTTGCCGACTTAGCACGCGCCAAGGTTCGATGCCCCTCGCCGGACTGTTCCAACAAATGTGGCCAGCGAGCGCGCCTGCACGATGCAAGCGACAGATTACGACCCGGATCCCGATGCACGAGCAGTGCAACGGCCCAGATAATCCGGCACAATCATCTTTGCCCGTCGACCGGGCCCTCGTTCAGCCTCGCGTGGGCGCCTCGAGACATGCGATCTGCCAGCCTGCGCCTGGCCTGGTCCAACCTGTTCGGGTTGGCTGGCCACCCTGGGCACTGCTTGGCGAGGACCACGGTGCGCCGCCTTGCGATCTTCGCCCGCGGGTTGCCGCCGCCCTCTGGCTGCCTGGCTTCCGCTCCTCGCCCCCGCCTTCGTCTCGACGCCTCTGGCGGCGGGGGCGCCTCGGCCTCCGCAGCCGCCACCGCCGCGCATGCCGCTCCCATCGGCGCACTGGTGCGGGCCTGCGCGGGGCTGGCTTCTGTGGGCATCGCGTCGGTCCATCGCGGAGTGGTCGGCCTCTACTCGTGCATTCAGGATGCCGAACTCCTCGTCGCCTCTTCCTCTGCCGGCTTTTCAGCGTGGCCGCCCGCAGGAGGGCGGCCGCCCTGGGCCCCCCTTGCCTCCTCGCTGTCGCAGCTGGCACGGTGCCGCGCGGCTGCCCCGCAAACGCCGCGCTGGCGGCTGCTCCTGCCCTGTGCCACCGCCACCGCCGCGGGCACCTGGCCGCGCGACGGCCCCGCAGGCTCCGCGCTGGCGGATCCCCCTGCCCTCTGACTGCCGCCTCTGCCCTGGTCTTGCCGCACCTCGCCGCCCAATCCCCCGCTCTGAATGGGAACGCCACGCTCCGAAACCGACGCCGTCGCGGAAGACCTGCCGCGCGCGGTACGCTGCGCCTCCCCATCCATCCGATTTCCCTGCGCGGGATGCCTCGCGCGGTGCAGGCTTCGCGCCAGTCCTCCGCGCGGGGTGCGTCGGCGCGGGGGCCCCGGTCGTCTCTGGGTCGGCGAGTGCAGCGCCTGTTGACGAGGAAGGTGATGCGCTCGAGCCTGATGTCGTCGCCGACATGCCAGAGCCCCCTCGTTTGTCCTCTCGACCCGAGAGGCTGCCGTCGCGACGCCGAGGCATGCCCCGCCCTCGCCCTCGCCATCGTCGTCGTAGAACGCCTCTGCGGGCGCCCTGTTGCCGAGCAGCTAGCTTCCGGGCAACCACGATCACCTCCCTGAACTCGTTACGCGCCCGCTCGAGCGCCCCTCCGCGGCGGGCTGGCGCCGCTTCCCAGCTCCCCCCGGTGTCGAGCTTCCTGCGCGCTGGGGGGTGCTCGACCGAAGCCGCCCTGCGTCGCCTGCTCGCCCCCCGCGCCTCCTCGCGCATCCAATGGGCCGGCTGTCGCATGGAGCCTTTGCCCCTCGCTGCTTCCAACCAGCTGCTGTGCGCGGGCAGCTGCGTCACCTCCATCGAGCGCACGGTGCGCAGCTCCATCTGGGACCTTTGTCCCGCCCCCACGTCTTCAAGCTGGGGGGCCCAGGTCGCTGCACTGCTCGTCATGTCGCTGCTGGGCCGGGCCCCCGCCGCGTCCCGAACCAGGGGGAAAAGCGGCCTACCAACGTCACTGGGCTCGTCCTCATCCTCCGCTTTCGCGCTGGGGAGAGAGAGAAAGAGAGAGAGAGAGGTCGACGCGGCCCCTGGTGCTGCTACGTCAAGACGGGCTTGTCGACCTCCTCCCTCCCCGGCCTCCTCTGGGCTGCCCTGAATCTCGCCCCTGCCGCTGGCCCGGGGGCAGTCGGCGACCGCTGGGCCTCTAGGCAGAGCAGGAAGGCGGGAAGTATTCGTCTTCCCCCTGCCCCCCCGCCGCTGCCCTATCTCGGCGACGCAGGAATTGCTCGTCCTCCCTCACCTCCGCGGTTCGTGGCTGCCGCAGCTTGGTCCTCGAAGTGCTGCCTGAAGTTCGCCTCGAAGCTACTCGCTGCGCTGCCGTCGCCAACGTCCACGATCCCATCCCCGCTGCACTGCCTCACCCTCGCCACGTGCCTCTCGAGGACCGTGATCTCGTTGGGGTCGGCAGCCCGCTCGACGCCCATTCTCCTTCACGGCTTGGGGATGCGAGGGCCAGCGTACAACCTCCAGCGCACGGCCTCGGCAGTGGCTGTTCGCCTGCAAACTCGGCAGCGCGCGCCTCTTCCAGTAGGTCTCCAGGTGGTGCTGTACTACAGAGGTCCAGGGGGCGGCTGTTCGTCATTTTCTTGGGCCGCTTCTCCTCCGTCCTCGGCTGCATGTCGTCCCAATCGCCGACCAGCTCGTGCCACCGGCCGATGCTGTAGAACGCCCGCGTCACGTTCTGGCTCGCCTCCTGAATCGTCTTGTCCTTGCCGTAGCACGCGCCCAGCTCCTCCGACTGCTTCGACAGGATATCGAACTCCCGATTCCCGACTGCCGCTCTCCTCTCAGGCCCTATCCAAGGCTACAATCGCAGCTCGGCTTCTGTGCGCCCTGCAGTGCTTTACCGCCTCGACGGGTACCTCGCGATTCTCCACGCAGAACCAAATCTGCCGCCAGACATCCGCGAGAGCTCTCTTGGCGTTGTGCGCCAGGTCCGTCCGCGCCGCAACGCCAGCACAATTGTCAGGTGGTCGGTGAAGATGACGCACTGCTCGCTCGCCCCCATGGCCTCCGTTCTGATGTGCCTCAATCGGGGATGGACAAGAACCCCCTTTAGGAAAACGCGGCTTAGTGAAAACGACCTCGGGCCCAAACCTGGCGGGCGCAAGCCTGGAAAATGACGGCCGTGGCGCTCTCCCGAGAACCGAGAACGGACAACTCACGAATCGACGCGTCCGGTTGGGAGGCCTGTCCATCCTTTTGATGGCGCGCTGCGTCGGCGCGTCCACGGGCAGAGGGCCATGCGTTCACGATGGCACTGCCCTCCGCATCCATCGACATGGGTGCCCGGCCCGCCTGCGCCCACATCGGGGCGCCCAGCCTCGAGCCTCCTGCGCTTCTTGGCCTGCCTGCGCTCGAGCATCCAGCCTGCCTCGCGGCCCCCATCTTCGCCGCAAACCTGCGTTGTCCGCTTCCACTCGGCCCTCTCCTGCGCGACCTCGGTCCTTGCCGACCTGCCTCTCAAGCCGCAGCCTTCTGCCGCCTCCGACTCCTCCCCAGGCTCGCTGTTGAAGCCACCTCCGAGCCCGAGGACGTCCTCCTCGTCGTCGTAGCCCTTGCCGCTCTCACCGAAGCTGAGGTCCTGGTCTGGGCCTTCCTCCTCTCGTCTGACTGCTCTCTCTGCCCTGTGCCGCTGAAGGCTACCTTCAGGTCGGGCATGTCCTCTTGCAGGCGGATTTTTGAATAATACTGAACAGTAGTAAAACCATGCTTCAAAACAAACAAAAATAGTCGCCCCCAGATTATATTTTTAGTATTTTTGAATATTCCTCCTGTAGAAGAACGTGCCCGACTGAAGGAAGGCTACCTCGCACGGTGGTCGCCTCCCCGAGCTCTCCGGAGTGTCACATTCTGTGCTCCCTCATGGGCTGGAAGTCCCAGTCAGCCGCAGGATGACGCAGGAGCCCTCGCGTCCACACCAAAAGTTGGACGGCTCCTCCTCCGCAGCGTGCTGCCACCTTCGCGGGGGGCCCAGGCGGTGCGCCACAGCACTCTTGCAGTTGAAGCAGCGGTGGTGGGCGTTGACCCCCCCCCCCTCCCCCTCTCCCGGGTCCTCCGCAACGCCTGCCTTGTGGAGGTCGTCCTGCGTCCGAGGCCCATGCACCGCAGCCTGCCTCGCCGCGTACACTGCGTGCTGGCCTCGCTCCTCGGTCGGGGTTCCTCTTCAGCTTGGCCACGATCGGGCCCAGCAGGGTCTCGGGGCCACACTCTCGAGGTCCTTGGTACGCTTCTCCCGCATCTCGAGCTCCAGGTCCAGCATGGGCATCGCTTGCAGCACATGGATTGCAACGCATGGATCATACCACATCGATTGCACCTCACAGCGTGCACCACACAGACTGCCCCACAAATGTTGCATCACTGAGGGTGCACCACAGAAAATGCCCAACATGTCTTGCAGTGCATCGGTTCCACGCCATCGATCGCACAACCTAGAGTGAACAACAAAGGTGGCACAACATAGATCGCACCACATACGATACGTCACACAACTTGTTGATACATCACGCAGCTTGCACCGCATGCATTGCACCGTCTATTTCAAACCACATGCATTGACACACGCGTATATTCCGCAACCCATACAAATGGCGCTACAAACACACCGTGTGGGGGGCACGCTGGCTAGCGGACACACGCACACACATACGTATATATATATACACCTATATATATATATACATATGTGCACGGCTGCGTCAGGGCAAGTGAGAGAGGGAGAGCGAAAGAGAGAGATAGACATACATAGAGAGAGAGAGGGAGACCAGGAAGAGCGAGAGAGTGAGAGAGAACAAGCGAGACACAGAGAGGGATAGAGGGCGACATATCACCATATAGCGAGGAAACTAGAGAGACAGAGAGACATATAGAGACAGCGAGCGAACTATACAGCTACGACTACAGAGAGAGGGGGGGGGGGCGACGTGTATATGTGCGTATGTATGTATGTATGTATGTATGTATGTCTGTATCTCTAAATCTATAGACATAGATGCGCAAAGGGGAAAAGCGATAGAGAGTTAGAGAGAGAGAGAGAGAGGAAGAGCGAGAGAGAGAGGGGGCATTAGAGGCATTGATATATTGCAATACGTCTCTATACAGGCATACATATGTGAACTTGCTTGCATGGTGTAAGGAGAGAAGCATCAATGTACTCATAGTCTACAGACATACGGAGAAGGAGAGAGAGGGAAGGCGCGAGAGAGACAGTGGGAGAGAGACAGAGAGAGCGAGCACATAGAGAAAGCTCACCTATGGCGCTAAAAAGAGGACAGGGAGAGAGAGAGAGAGAGAGAGAGAGAGGGAGAGAGAGAGACAGAAAGACCAGTACAGATAAGGAGACACCTATATATATATATATATAATATATATATATATATATATATGGATGATGAGAGAGAAGCGTGATCCACCGCCGCTTACTGTGGAAAATTGCCACCTTTTCCTCCGGACCTTTTCCTCCCGAGCCCGGGGTCCCGCACCCCCCCCCCCCCTCCCGAAAATTCCCACCCCCCTGCTGGAACCCCTCCCCCCCCCCCCCCCACCCTCTCCCCCGCAAACCCCCCCTCTCCCCTAGACCCTCCCCCCCACGACCTCCCCGCCCCCCACCCCCCTCCCGCTCGATAAAAAGAGGGTGAATATGTCAGGGTTCGAACCCCTCCCCCCCCCCCCCCTACCCTCCGGATCCGGAAAACTGGAGGGGGCCACTACCGGTTCGCACCCCCCCTTCCCCTTTCCCCCCCCCCCCTACTCACCGCCAGCAAACGACTCCCGGTCCCCACCACCGTCCGCATCACATCCCCCACTGGTGTTCCCAGCACCACTGTCCTCACCACCGCTGTCCCCACTGGTTCCACCACCGCCCCTACTGTCCCCACCAGTGGCCCCACCACTGTCGCACTGTTCCCGCTGTCCCCAGAACTGTTCCCACCACGGTTCCACTCTCCCCACTGTCTCCACGGCCCCAACCACTGGCCGACTATCCCTACTGTCCCCACTGTCCCACTGACTCCTCCGCTGTCCCACTGAGCTGTCCCACTCTTCCCACCACTGTCCCCACTGTCCCCACCACTGTCCCCACTGCACCTCTGTCCCATTGTCCCACCGCCGTCCTCGCCACCGCCTTCACCACTGTCCCCACCACCATTGTACCCTCCACTGTCCCACTGTTTCCACCTCATTCCCATTGTCCCCACACTACTGTCCCCACCACCACCGTCATCACCACTGTCCACTGTCCCCCCCTGTTCCCACCATTGTCCCCACCACTGTCCCCACCACTACCGTCCCCACCACTGTCCCACTGTCCCACTGTCTGCACCACTGTCCCGCTATCCCCTCACCACTGTCCCCACCAACACCGTCCCCACCACTGTCCGCACCCCCACTCGGTTTTCGAGGGGGGGGGGTTCGAACCGGCAGTGACCCCCCCCGGTTTTCCGGATCCGGAGGGGGGGGGGGGTTCGAACCGGTAGTGACCCCCCCCCCTTTTCATGATGAGCAGGGGGGGGGGGGGGGGGGGGGAGGGGTTCGAACCGGTAGTGACCCCCCCCGGTTTTCTGGAGGGGGGGGGGGGAGGGGTTCGAACCGGTAGTGACCCCCCCCGGTTTTCCGCCAGCAGCGGTAGAACACGCTCTTTCACATATAACGGCGCACCGGGTCCGGGGGCCCGGGGCCGGGACCTCGACCACAAATGTGCACCCCGGGGGCCCCGGAGGCTCGTCGGGGCTTGCCGGAGGCCTCCCCAGTCAGACAAGACGGCCCCAGAAACGCCCAAGACGGCCCAAGAAACTTCCAAGAGGCCTCCAAGAGGGCTCCGAGATGCTGAAGATGGCCTCCAGACGACCAAGGACGCCCCCCAAGACGCCCCAAGAAGCCTCCAACATGCGTCCCAAGAGGGCCCCTAGACGCAAAAATTGGCCCATTCCCTTCGTAAAACGTACATTTTTCACAAAGTTGCCTTTTGGGCTTTCCGACATTACAGGACGGCCCAAGAAGCGCCCAAGACCGCCCCAAGACGGCCCAAGAAGCTCCCAAGAGTGCCCCAGGACAGCCAAGAGGGCCCCAAAACGGCCCAAGAGGCGCCCAAGATGGCCCAAGAGGGCCACAAGACGGGCCCAAGAGGGGGCCCAGAGGGGGACCACGAACCGCAAGCTCGAGCCTTCCGCCCCAAGAGGCCGCCAGCAGGCCCCAAGGAGGCCCCTCAAGAGGCCACAGGAGACCCCAGACGTCCAAGGACGCCCCCAAGAGGCTCCAAGAAGCCTCCAACATGCGTCCCAAGAGGGCCCCTAGACGCAAGAATTGGCCCATTCCCTTAGTAAAACGTACATTTTTAACAAAGTCGCCTTTTGGGTTTTCCGACGTTACAGGACGGCCCAAGAGGCGCCCAAGACCGCCCCAAGACCGCCCAAGAAGTTTCCCAGAGG